CCTTTGTTTTTTTGTCTTCAAAATCTCACAGGAGCAAAGGCTGACTTCATTCGCAGGCATCCATTCTATCCTGTTTTTGCCCATTTCATGAAAATTATTCGCTCTCAGTTTTATCTAAGCATCAGTTTCATAAAAAAAAAGGCCCAGGAGTGCACTTCCTCATGCTTTCCGTTCTTCACCGCTCCCCTCTCTTTTCAAATGTACGTTAGTTAGTCAATCGGCAAAGTACCTACGCTATTTAATCCTTATACCCACCTATCCTGGCCCCTCTCCCCTGCCTCGAACGAAACCCGTCATTTACCACCCCCACTTCCACCTCCCACATTCAAACTGCCGTCATCCCCCATGGGGTAGCCCTACCTGCCGTCGCGAGAAAAAAATTTTTGCAGCTCGTGCGTGAGACGGACCAAGCCGAGCCGCGTTATTGTAACTGCTCCGACTAGGACGCATTTTGTTATCAAGTTAATAAATAAATACATTGTCGTGATAAGCTTAAAAGGACTATGCGCTTTGTCGTATTCACCTGTTGTGGGCACCGTAGTAGCTCATCACAGAGCTGGGCACTTTGTTAATTATCCGCTCATTGATCAATTAATTAGTTACCTACTGAAGTCACACCGCAGAAACTGGCTCATTGAAGGTAACGCAGACAATGGCTTATGAACGAGTGCTATTGCATTTGCCAGCGCAGTAGCCCCTCACAAGGCTTATTCGTGAACTGTAATGGTGCTGTAAACACTGTACCCCACGAGCAATTCTGCGAAGCATCACCTCATCAAGTTTTAAGGAAAAATCGACAGGTGGTGAAACAATATGTATCCATTTGTCATCGCCGGCACGACTTAAGGATGTCGACTCGAGCACATGAATACTTACAGTAGCACTAGATGACAGTGGCGGCGTACCTTAAAACAGAAGTCATTAAATTCAACAAAACTGGCAAAAGCGCTTATATTATTACTTACTCTTAAATTAAGTTTTTCAGTGACATTTTTTTGCGAAAATCACCCGGAATTTTAATACTGTTTAATAAGAAAGATTTAAAAAAGGTGGGCGCCTTTCCTTTAATAAGTCCAGATTAAGCGTCAGATGAAGACTGCGTGCGTGAGAAAATATACGCAACACCAATGTTCCTTTTTTGTTTTTCTAAAATTTATGGCATTCACAGGTGCCAAGCTTTACTGTATTTTTTCCACAATCTTTGGTACAGACCCAGGTTACTTCTAAAATTTTGGAAAGAAATAAGCTAGAAGCTTGAAATAATTGGATCTTCGCTAGCCATACAGGGCAGAGTGAGTGGCTATAAGTCAGCTTTCAGATCCCAATGTTTCTTAGCCCGTGGCTGCACCTCAGAATTCGGGCTTATATACTAATATCAAAGAATAAGACAAGCCGTGAACTCAGAAGTTTGGTTCTTTTTAGGCACCGAAAGAATTAAGTCATGATAACGAATCACTATATGTATTAAATTACTCAGTAATTCGCCATCTGTGGAACCTCACTGCATACATTCATGAAAGCGCTTACGTCTCCAGTGATGTTGATATAAAAATAATGCACTCACTGTAGCGTCTAAAAACTTATCACACAAACCCAATATGGCAGTGACTTTTTGATAGGCAGAGACAGGAAAGAGGAACGGCAAAGATGCTTGAATCAGCCAAGAAGCTAACAAAGGCGCATTTTTGAAGTATTTGCCATTCGATCTTCCACTGTTTTTCACAGCCATTTAACTCGCTTATATTCCTTAATAAATATTTTTGCAAAAGAGAGAATGGAACCTTGATCTTTTGCTACAACTAAAAATTCGTAAGGATGTGCTCGAGCCAGACCAATAAGCCCATTCGTTATGCGTATCATCCCACTTTCCGGATCAATCTCGAAATCTAAAAACATTAAAGTGCTAATCGTAATCAGCGGTGTCAGAAACACGTATTATTCTTAAACAAAGGAAGGCGTATCGGTCATATAATTCTAATTCATTCATGACTGTAGCTTCGATGCCGAAAATAAGCGCTTAGAAGACAATACAGTCTTGAGAGTTCGGGTGAACAAAATGTTCTCACGCTGAAGTGGATAAATAGCGGCGCACACCAGAGTAGCCAGTGCGATCATGCGTTTTACGCAGTTTTGACTATCGGACGTTTCTCTCCTAAGGATTTTCACCGTCTTGCACTTTGGTCTCTGAAAAAATACTCAAACGCTGTTTGGTTCCTAAGCTATGAAGTTTCTCACTGAAAATTTCAAGCACTTATGTGAAACGCAAACGTATGTGAAAGCTGAATTTGAAACCTTGAAAGCTGAACACTGTTCCAAAATTTCAACCACCTAGTTCTCTGGCTCCCGAGTAACTTTCACGTCAAACTTTCGCATGGTTGTACCTGAGAGAAATCGTCGTATTTGGGAGATAAGTTTGA